ATCATTGATGTCTGATCTGGAGCATAAAGGTATTAACATACCAGCAACTGCTGCTGCTAATCAATCTGGGAAGAGTTATAAATAGGGCCAGGACTTCAACGCATTAATTCTGACTCCTTATTTACATTGATTCTAATGTAAATTAGAATCAATGTAAGTTCTGACTCCTTATTTACATTGATTCTAATGTTTTAATATTTTTAGTGCAATTGTTTGCATTTTTTTTTTTTTTTGTTCAAGCCAGAACCTTTGTATTTACATGTTTCTGGTACGCTTGTAAATCTGATGCACATCCGCAAACAGCAGCGACGGAAGAGTCTTCTCTCGGCCAACTGGGGGTTAGTTCTGCCTCTGAACGATCTGATTGGACGCTGAAAGAGAATATTGTTGTCTTCAAGTTGTGCTAAAAGCAGCTAGCCTATCAGCAAAGCCTAAAATAGCATCTCAATGCTAAACATGTAGCAGCTAATGCTAATGTCAGCGTCCACATTTCTAAAGAAGCTCCATGAATGATCAGAACTTTCTGGAACTCTGGAAAGATGAATGGACAGAATAAAACTGAAACAATCTGATTGTTTCAACCATCAATAAAACTATAAACATTTTTGTTGTAGAGCTCATAAGTTTATTTATTTAATAATTTAGCAGCAAAAAGGGTTTTTGAATTGGAAAAGTTTATTTAGTCAATAAATAGTTTTCAATTCAAATGTGATTAACTTAATACAGAAGTTGATTAAACACTTTAATCGAGTCCCACCGCTAGTTTTAAAACAATTCGCTGGATGACAGGATGTACTTACTTTGTTTAGACGTTTTGGTTCGGACAACCAATAACTTATTGGTCGGATGTTTTATTCCCTGATTCTCAGGAGTGAAAAGTCAAGTCTGTAGATTAGTGGTGGCCATACTTCCACTAGTGCGCTAATAGCGGCGCTAACACACTTCCACTAGTGCGCTAATAGCGGAGCTAGCACACTTCCACTAGTGCGCTAATAGCGGAGCTAACACACTTCCACTAGTGCGCTAATACCGGAGCTAACATTTTCTTTAGCTCTTTAGCATTTTGCTATCTTTAAAAACCTTTAGAGCAATTAGCTGGAGTCTTTATAGAGCCGTATATAAGTGAAGATAAGAAAGTCTAGAAGTTATGTTTTAGTTGTAGATGTCTGGAGGTGTGAATCTGACATTTATGATTATGATTAGCATGTCAGAGTTAGCGCAGCTAACATGCTAGCTAGCAGTTCCCAGTTTGGCTAAAATGTGCTTCTGTTTGTCTCAGTTTGTTTCAGCGTTGAATGATGGACAAGGAGCTGGTTCAGCAGAGCCAATCAGAACAGGCCACCAATGGCCCGGCCCCCTCCACCCCTACCACCCCCACCACCGCGAACCCCCCACGGCTCATCCCCAACCCCATGCTCCTGGACTCCCCCGCCCCCACACTGACTCCCACCACCGCCTCCCCTCCTCCCCCGCTGACCCCCGCCCCCTCCGTCTCCTCGGCCCACGGGCCGAAGGCGGCGGCGGAAGGGGGCGGGGCCTCGTCC